ATGCTTCGCAATTATGTTTCAGTGAAATCAATGTATATGGCCTCTCCGGAAGCCGCGGCCTCTGTTTTTGTTAACAGTGAGCCTTGAACAAATTGGTTGAACTATAATTATTTTGCATATGTGGTAAGAACAAATACGTGATGCCGTACTTCTCGCTCATCATCAAGTGTACTGCACCGTGTAATCTATACATTTTAGCTAGACAGTTAACCGCCCTTGCCAGTCCAGATCATCTGTGAGCAGATCGATTTCTAGGCCCGAAGTCTTCAGACGTGATCGACCATGCCAGACGGGTAGACCGGGATTCATGTAGTAGAAACCAACATGCCCCGCTAGTACAGAACATCTATGGTGCATACTGTTCTCTGGGTATGAAGGCGTTTCTTCCAAGCATTTAACATTTCATATTAAAGGACGCGGCAGTGCTACTGCTTTTCCACCGGAAAAGACGAGTAACAGGAAGCCCGCTCACCGATGACAATCAATGAGCAGGCAGTGCCCAGTGTGACTGAAATGCTTTGAAAATGCACGCATTGCTTGCTGGTCACAAGGCAGCATTTGTGCGCACCGCTGCCGAAATAAACTGACTTCAGCGCTCAAACTTATCACTGCTTTATTCGCCCGTAGATACACATCACTTACATCTTACAATATGGTAGGCTTGGATTTATTCGTTGGACGTGTGCAACCTTACTACAAATCACGCCACTGTACTATACCTAACTGACAGAAAAGTCACTGGAGAATACCGAGGTAAATCATCACCGACAAATAAACACCTATTGCACTTGAGCATGATTATCATTACGAGGTTTATTGGATCGACCTAACGTACCCACTGCTTACCCCATCTTATGTGGAATTCACTAAACTTGTAACTTCAAGACGGATAAAAAACAATAAGGTTCATCACATAGAGCGCATCAAAACCCAGAAATCGGTTTGACAATATACTAATTCGCTGAACAGGGCGATCACGCAGCGAATATCTCCTCGACAATCGGATTATCGTCATCACTTACTTAAGATGAAAAGAACATAAGAGTACGTTGCTAAGCAGGTAGTCTTTGCAATTCATTTTGCAGGCTTCATTTTGGCACAATCAAGTGGAATTTCGTTCGAGAATTGCCCGGGCCTTACACATTGAGTTCTAAATCAAGCTAATTGGGTCACATTCTCGAACAAATCCACTCACATTGATTCACACACACTAATTTACAGCTCTTCCAGTAGTGTTGGCCGAGAAGATGCTTCAAGGAAACTTACATTTTCTATTGTTAACGTATATTGATACAAGGTGTGCATTTTGGGGCGAATTAGAGGGCATCGCGTCTTCCAAATGAAGGCGTCGAATTGATATGCTTGTCAGTCTCTGAAATTTGTGCCAGACCTATGACTGTTTTCGATTTCTGTTATTCGCACCACGACTTTCCGATCAGTAAATTCGCAGTCTAGCCACTGGAGCCATCTCGTATCAATCACTGTTATCGTGAAAGAAGCGAACCTTAGCTTCGAATTTTTGTTCGACTCGTTTTAAAGCCGCTAGC